CGTTTGGTCTAGTAATGTAACGAACCTGTCCATCTCAAAACCAGCTACCAAGGGGAAAAAAAGGAAAAATAAGAAAACAATTCATCAGCATAACTTTGTATATCAAGATTGGGTGCCTGAGCTCCACAAGAGGCACCAAGATATCCAAGATTGTATTTCTCTGTATGTTGCATTGCTTTATAAGGATATACATTTATAGAATACAAATCCATGTACATGCTGTGAGGCTATTACAAGGATCACACAAATAATCCACATCCCTAAATAAATGCAAAGTAGACATACTTGGATATACATTCATACTCCGCCTCAACATCGAGATGGTCTAAAAGAAAGTATGGAGAGTTCGAACGTAAACCAAAAGAATTGAGGTACGAAACGAGTATTGGTGAAGAAGCCAACAAGTCGTATAAAGGAAGTTGGATAGGGAAGAGCAATTGTGTCTTCTAGGGATTCTTGTCGTACAATACAACAATCAACTTCAATATGCTTCTGGTGTTTCTTGTGTTCATAGAACTCGTGATTCTTGGAAATATAAATGGCACTTTGATTGGCACAAAACAATGGAGTCGGTTTGGTGATGTTTACTTCCAAATTTGCTAGCAAATAGTGAAATTTCACTGGTGGTCTGAGCCATATTCTGCTTCAGTTCTTGATTGGGCAATAGGCATTTGCTTTTTGCTTTTCCAGAAGAAAAGAGAGTCCCATAGGGACTATACAGAACCCTAAAGTAGATTTGCAGCCAGTTCGATCTCCTGTAAAATCTGAGTCAAGGTATGCCCTGAGTCGCATTAAGGGCGATTAGGAGCATAACTGAGCTTGATTAGGGGCATCTCGGACATGCAACCAATGATTTTTAACATTGTGCTGATCAAATGAACTATACAAGCTATGTATGGCCGTGAAATTGTTAGCTAAATCAAACTTCCCAACCAATCGTCTGAAAAATGTTGGGTCAAAAAGAAGTTCTCCATCACTAGCTCGAAGCGTTACATTTAACTATGTTGGATTGACAACTCTTTTTGTATCGTTAGCAAGCCGAGCTTGAGAAAAAATAGCGCAGAAATATTGGAGTTGACAAAGTATATGTCTATGAGAAGTAAGAAACTTCTAGCGCAAGAAAATAGCGCAGAAATCCCAAATCTTTCATTTTAGAGATCTGGTTGAGGTTTTGTTTAATCTTATAAATAATACCCAAATTATCACCATAGATAATCATGCCATCCAAATAAAGTAACAAAATGGCTCGTCTTTCCAACGTTTTAGATATAAATAGGGCTAAATCATGATGACTTTGCCAAAACCCAGCTGATACTACCATACTTCAAAATTTCTCAAACCAAGCACGAGGAGCTTGTTTGAGTCCATATAGGGCTTGACAAAGTCCGCACACTCTATTTTTTGGATCGGTAACTCCAAAGGTTAATTTCATTTTAAATTATTTAGCAAGTTCACCATTAAGAAATGCATTCTTGACATCTAACTGATATAGGGGCCACTGTCGAACAGATGCCATAGAGATTAAGGTTGGAACTGTACTTATATGGGCTACTAGAGCCAATAAATTCGATCCAAGATTGCTGATTGTAAGTCCATAAGCCTGACTTTATATCTCTCAAGGCTACCATCAACTTTTGTTTTGATCTTATATACTCGTCAACATCCAATTGCTTCCTTTCCTTTTGGGAGTGGTACAACATCCCAAACATGCATCCGATCAAGAGCAATCAATTCTTCTACCATTGGTTGTTCCCATTCACTGATTTGCAGTTTTTTTGTAAGTCTGATGCTCGTAATTGGAATGAATAGAAGCAAAAAAAGCTTGATGTTGGTGAAGGAAGGTTTTGTAATCAATAAAACGAGCAAGGGAAGTCGAAACACAAGTTCTTTGTTGGATAGTGGGCCCTTGTACAAGATCATGGAGCGAGTTTGTCAGATTAGAGTTCTTTGCAGTAGTAATTGGTTACTCTTTTTGAGTTTCTAGTATGAGGGTAAAGTATGAGATTTCAAACGCAGCTGGAACATCATTAGAGAAAGGGACAAGAATTAAGAGGTCAGAGGAATATTTAGCTATTTTATCTAAAAGAACGGGATATGTTTGGAGAAGGTTACATTTCTTGAGACTCATAATTCTTTAAGAGTGGATCATAGCACCTATATCCTTTTTAGCAATGATTTAAAAAACAGATCGGTGACTAGGATTGAGCATTGCAAAATCAGTTCGGATCGGTGAATCGACAGCTCAGATCGCCATTTTACAGTGCAAAAAAAATAGTGAACCAGCAAAACAACACATGCAAAAACAATAAGCCGGTCAAGAACCGGTCCGGATAGGTGAATCGACGTTTTTACTGTAGCCAAATGGCATTTTTACTATAGCAAATCGCCGGTTCTCTTCTAGACCCGGACGATTTTTTATATATTGACAGAATCAGCATGGGGTGACCGATTCCCGAGTCAGACCGAGCGATTCCATGCCGACCCGACATTTTTTAAATCATTGCTTCTTAGTGATCAGGATAACCTCAAAAAACAACATGTAACAACTTTGGCAAACAATTTGTCTTGCTCGAATTCAAGTATTAACACAAAGCAAGTGCAACTAAAAGTTCTAAGAAGGGAGTAATTTAGCTGCCTAGTAAAGGTTTCCCAAAGGGGGAATGCCCTGACAGAATGGATGATGCCATAATATTAACAAGATAGACCCAATACGAACAGATTCTACCAAGTTAATTTTGGGAATAGAAGTTGCACTCATGGTTTTTAAAATATGGCAATTTCTACGTTCAACAATACGTCTTTGCTCAAGAGTGTAAGGATAGGTTTTTTGATGTTGCATATTTTAGGCCAAAAGGAATCTTTGAAGTATACCACTTATGTATTCTCCTCCATATCAGAATGCAAGGTCTTAATTTTACTAAAAAATAGGCTTTCCACATAAGAATAAAATTGAGTGGCTCTCTAAGCAGTACAAATAGCATCAGAAAAATAATTATAGTCGGTCAAGATCAACTCATTATCTATCATGTAACGAGAAGCTCCTAAGTCAATCAACCAAGAGGTAAAACATGGTTACTTGAAAAGGTGATGGATGACACACATGACAACTAGGACTGAGAAAGCATGGACTGAAGCTGCTCAATTGTAAGGGTGACGGTTGACAGGACCAAGAAGTACAAAAGAGATCATTTGAAAAGGCGATGGATGACATAGAGGACAACTAGGACTAAGAAAGCATGGACTGAAGCTGCTCAATTGCAAGGGTGACGAGTAACAAGATAGTGGAGATGAGGTTGAAGAACATCCCTCCAAGGGTTGACTTGTCTCTGTTACAGTTACGACAAAAGGTTTTTTTCTTGTTTGGACGTGTGAACATATGGCCAAACTCTCTACAATAATTACACTAGATGTCCGACATATTCTGTCGAGGTAAAGAGGAGAAAGGGGTTTGAAAATCTTTGCGCCCCATGGGTCTAGTCAAAGCAAAAAAGATTTATCCATTGAAAGCATTAGCAAGAGATTTGGTCTTGGTTTCTTCCGCTGTCAACTCAAAAAGAGCCTGAGTTATAGAGGGGAAATGTGAAATATGGCAGTTCATGTACTCTCAAACACATGTCGAACTACAATTTAAAAAAAATTGTAATTCGAAACTCATCCCCTAATTTTTAAATAATTTCTGCACTTGTGTCATCACCGATTGTAGGTGCCATGAGTGCTCTAGCATCCCAAAGGTCTTTCATGGATGAGTAGAACTATACTCATCCATGAAAAACTGATCTCCTTGTCTACATGAGCAAATTTCTTGTACTAGTTGATATTTTATTGCCTAATTTGTTTGATGGTAATGTTTGATTGTCTATGTCTAGAGAGAAGAGTGCCTTCCAAAACAGCAATTAGGCAAGTTTTAGACCGAGACAAAAAGGTTTAGACAGGTCTTCTCATAGAGAAGAAAAGGGGATAAGAGGGTACATGAGCTAGTTTGGGGATCTGATGTTGAATCTGAGCATAGTAGTATGAGCTGATCGATCCTTGACCGACGAAATTTAAGACTAAAGATCTTAACTATATAACATCTTCCCACGAATCTTATACAGAGGCTTCCCTTGATCGAATGTCCCACCAATTGTGAAAAGGCAGTATAGCACTTTGCTTGAAGTGATTGAAATTTGCAAACACTCGCCTCCTTCCTTCCCCTCCACTAAACTCCCCAGCCGGCCCATTGTTAATGAATGCTCTATAGAATTCCACCTAATACAAGCCATATTAAGCTTTGATAATGGGACTAAGAGCACTAAAACTCTGGGAGGGCCTAACGTTAACAAGGTCTCAGCAGCAAAGCAACGAACTAGATCAGCAGCAAAGCAACAAACAGCAGAAAAGCAATGAGATAGATCGTGGAATGGTCAGAGAACAGATGATTTGGTGATCAACTGCGATGGTTTGAAAGAGCAAGGTGTATTGGAGGCTTCGACTTTGATGGTTTGGGTCGTCTGGTTCTGATACCATGTGAAACTATGATGGTTTGAAAGAGCAAGGTGTATTGGAGGCTTCGGCTTTGATGGTTTGGGACGACTGGCTCTGATACCATGTGAAAGTATCCAAGATTTTATTGCTCTGATACCATGTGAAAGTATCCAAGATATTATTTTACAAGAATATACATTTATAGAATACCAAGCCCTGTACAGATCATGTATAAGCTGTAAAGCAAGCTGCAAGACTATTACAAAAATAATATAAATAATCCACATTCCTAGATAAACGGAAAGTAGATATTCTTGGATTTACGTTCCACCCAACACTCAACACACTACTGGGGAAAAAGCCTGAAAAAAAGACAAGTGATGCTTTATAATCATGTATTCCAGCATGGTATGTTTCAAACTTCCAATCATTTTTAAGAACTAGAAAGTGGCGCATGTGATAGAAACCGAAGTTGGCAAAACCTCTTCACCTCTTTGCGTTGAGTAAAGCTTCTAATGCATTCATATATTTCCAGTTCATCTCACTTTCTAGAGGTTTCTCCTATTTAACAAATACTATATGCTGGGAATTTGCATCTTCTAATCTTATAGTCCAACAAAACAAAATGCACTCACCTCCATATTCAAGAAAATAGTTGTGGCTACCAGAACCATCTTACTTGTCAAAGGAGGAAACACCAGAACATTGTTACAGACACTACAAACAAATCGCTTCCGAATATGGCCTTGAGTACCAAGTAAATTGCATTGAATAATGGAAACCGAGAGATTATACCAGAGCAATCCTACATACGATCACCAGATCTCCCCCCAATATGACCTCAAGTATCAAGTTAATTGCAATAAATAATGAATAAAAATCTAGGCTGACAAGTAGCAAAAGGAAAGAAAAGCCCATGTGTACCATTTTTGTTATGCAAATGGTCCCCTTACTCCATGTAAAGCATTTATACAAGCATTTAAATCTTACCAACTGGATGAGTATCAGAGTAGCACAGTGAACTTGGTGCACCAATTTTTGGATTAAAATACACCTAAGAATCGACAAGCAGAAGAAGATTGCCAGGCCAAAGAAAAAAAATATGGGGGTATGGCAGTTGTTTTGTAAAGTAGAGTCTTGCCTGAAACTTCACTAGATCGTGTCCCTTTTTTCAACTGAGCACCAGTATGGCTATAACTTATTTTGTGTGTGCTTGAGAGTGCTTTTCTAATAGAAGCCCCAAATCTTCATGAGCTGAGATGCCTTCTCTACATAAAACTTGAGCTAAATCAGTTCTTGATCGTGTTATAGATTACAATTGATTGTTGGCACCGCTTCTTTCAAGAGAACGTTCACAAAAAGAACAACCCATTATTTTAATCACTTGTTGACATGCCCCAAGCATGAGAACAACACTACTAGCTCAGTGGAAAGATCATATTTTTCTACATCTTTTTATTCTCCATTCAAATAAAATCATTCCATGTATAACACTGTTAAATGGGAATTTGCATCATCTAATCTTATAGTCCAACAAAACAAAATGCACTCACCTCCATATTCAAGAAAATAGTTGTGGCTACCAGAACCATCTTACTTGTCAAAGGAGGAAACACCAGAACCTTGTTACAGACACTACAAACAAATCGCTTCCGAATATGGCCTTGAGTACCAAGTAAATTGCATTGAATAATGGATGGAAATCGAGAGATTATACCAGAGCAATTCTACACATACGAACACCAGATCTCCCCCATATATGACCTCAAGTATCAAATAAATTGCAATAAATAATGAATAAAAATCTAGGCTGACAAGTAGCAAAAGGAAAGAAAAGCCCATGTATACCATTTCAGTTATGCAAATGGTCCCCATACTCCATGTAAAGCATTTATACAAGCATTTAAATCTTACCAACTGGATAAGCATCAGAGTTGCACAGTGAACTTGGTGCACCAATTTTTGGATTAAAATACACCCAAGAATCGACAAGCAGGAGAAGATTGCCAGGCCAAAGAAAAAAAATATGGGGGTATGGCAGTCGTTTTGTAAAGTAGAGTCTCGCCTGAAACTTCACTAGATCGTGTCCCTTTTTTCAACTGATTACCAGTATGGCTATAACTTATTTTGTGTGTGCTTGAGAGTGCTTTGCTAATAGAAGCTCCAAATCTTCATGAGCTGAGATGCCTTCTCTACATAAAACTTGAGCTATATCAGGTCTTGATCATGTTATAGATTGCAATTGATTGTTGGCACCACTTCTTTCAAGAGCACGTTCACAAAAAGAACAACCCACTATTTTAATAACTTTTTGACATGCCCCAAGCATGAGAACGACACTACTAGCTCAGTGGAAAGATCATATTTTTCTATTCAGTCCCCATCTTTTTATTCTCCATTCAAATAGAATCATTCCATGTATAACACTGTTAAATGATGTCCATGTAAGATAAAAATTGTGTACATCTGTCAAAGGCATGTTATACACAACTCTATGAGAAGGACCTCACAATGTACGCATGAAACCCACTTACTCAAGACATTGACCTTGGCCTTCATATCCAATGCTGGCATGGAAGCACCTTAAGTTAACGGATACTAAGCCACTAAGTAGGGCGCCCAAACCATCACAGATAAAACCCCAAAACGTCCCTGTTTTTTAAAACCATCACAGTGAATTGTCGATCCATCTGTTCTCTAATGGTCCCACGATCTAGGTTGTTGTGGTGAAGGATCAATATGCTCAGGCCTCTCTGCTCAGATCCATCAAGTTGCCAAACCAGGTGCTGTACAGTTCATGGAAGGAACAGCTGCACAGAGAGAAAGCTTGTTGTGATCTCAAAAATGTCACAGATCTGGGAATATAGAGAGAAGGTGTGGAACCAGAGAAAACTTTTAGAGAAAGAGAGCCTGTTGTAGTATTCCGATTCAAGACAGAAGGTGTACGAGAAAACGTCAAGGTTAGAATCTTTAACACTAATTGCTCTTTTTAGCGCTATTATATTCTTCCTTTTCTAAACCATCATTCAACGTTTTTTATTCCAATGCTGGCATGGAAGCACCTAAGTTAACGGATACTAAGCCACTAAGTAGGGCGCCCAAACCATCACAGCTGAAACCCCAAAACTTCCCTGTTTTTTAAAACCATCACAGTGAATTGTCGATCCATCTGTTCTCTAATGGTCCCACGATCTAGGTTGTTGTGGAGAAGGATCAATATGCTCAGGCTGCTCTGCTCAGATCCATCATCAAGTTGCCAAACCAGGTGCTGTACAGTTCATGGAAGGAACAGCTGCAGAGAGAGAAAGCTTGTTGTGATCTCAAAAATGTCACAGATCTGGGAATATAGAGAGAAGGTGTGGAACAAAAGAAAACTTTTAGAGAAAGAAAGCCCGTTGTAGTATTCCGATTCGAGACAGAAGGTGTACGAGAAAACATCAAGGTTAGAATCTTTAACACTAATTGCTCGTTTTAGCGCTATTTTATTGCTTCTGAACCATCATTCAACGTTTTTATTCTACTTTCTTCTCTGCACAATTCAAGAGCACCAATTCATTTTTTGTTCCCATCCCTTCTTGCAAAACCCAAATTGAAAACCTCGCTTGTCCATAAAAACTTTCATTAAAACCTCCAAATATAACTGACCACAAGCGAACCTCCAGATACAATCAATCACAAGCGAAGCAGACAATCACTTTGATCTTGCGAAGTCATGCTGTTTTGATCTCCCTTCCAGCCACGGTTTCTTCTTATAGAGTCATTTTTCGTGTCCCTTTGCCAGCTTGCCTGAAAATCGTTTATGTGCACCGGTATACCACTCTTGTTGACACGAAACTGCTTGTATTCAAAGCTGTTATTTATACCTCGAATCCACTTTCCTCCACCCATGGAACCACCTTTGCCCCTCATAACTGAGTTTGTTCGTTTTCGTAAAGGCCTCGAAATTCTTTCTCTATACTTCTCTTTCTATGGAAAAATCAGAATCCTTTCAGATGTTCCTGTGTAAAAGGCTTCCTAGGTACATTGATGGCACTAAAAAAAGACCAACTAACCCTAACAAGCTAGGAGAGTGGGGAACCACTAATGCAATAACTGTAGCATGCCTAATGGATCAGTTGAAAGCAGTATAGGGGTTAATCTGAGAGGTTTCAAAACTGCTTGTTAAGCATAGGTCTTCCTCGAAGAAATCTACCATCAAACTAACTTGGGAAAGAAAATATCAGTTAGTACAAGACATCTGACATGGAGATCGGTCTATTCAACACATCTACTCATCCATGAAGGAGCTCCAAGATGCTCTAATGCTTATCGAACATGAAATTCGTGATGGTTCGAGTGCAGAAATTATTAAAAAATCAAGGAATGAGTTTTGAGTTATAGAATGTTTTAATGGCACTCTGTCTTGAGTTTGATTTTGTAGGAAACACCATATCGCAAAGACATTTTCTCCCCTATCTAACTCAAGCCCTTTCTGAATTGATGGCTGAAGAAACCACGATCAAATTTCGAACTAGTGACTACTGCTTTCAAAGGAGAAACAATGTTTGTTACAAATAGTCCCAGAGGGCGCAAAAATTTTAAAACCCCTTTTTCCTTCGTATCTCGACATAATATGTCAACCATCAGGTATAATTATTGTAAGGAGTATGGACATATGAAGTTCACATGTCCAAAGAAGAAAAAACATTTCGTCATAGTTGCTATAGAGACAAGTCAATCCTTGGATGCATGTTCTTCAACCTCGTCTACAATTATCCCATTGACAGTCACCCTTGCGATTAAGCAACTTCGTTCCATTCTCTCTCAACTCGGTGTCTTTTGCATCATCCACCGCCTTTTCAAGTAACCCAACTTCTTCGTTGATTGACTCAGGAGCTTCTTGATATATAACATCTAATGAGTCGATATTGACTGACTGTAACTATTTTTCTGACACTATTCGTACTGTTGATGAAGCCATTATGCAAATTTCTAAAATAGGTTCTATCTCACATAATTTTGATCCCTCTCGAAAATTGAGTGTTCCTTCCATAACAATGAAACCTCTCTTTGTTGAACAAATTACTCACTCCAACTATTATGTTCTACTTTCTTAGTTCTACTTCTACTTCTTGTATACAAAATCAACTGTCAAGGAAGCTAATCAAAACTAAGCGCAAAGATGGCGATCTTTACTACCTAGACTAGCTCCAAATGTCACCTTCCACTTCAGTTTGTGATGTCTCTTCCACTAATGTCACATCCGTTTAGCATCAGCGCCTGGTCATATCTCTAGTTCTCGATTAAATTTTCTATTTTCTAATGGTAGACCTACTCCTCTCATTTGAATGGAGGAGCACACTATTTTGTAATCTTCATTGATGATTACACAAGGTACATACGGGTCTTATTTCATGAACAGCCGCATTGAGCCTTCCAAAATATTCACCTAATTCCATTCTTATATGGAAAGCAAATTTTCAACTAAAATTAAGGCCTCACATTCTGATTTTGGAGGAGAAAATACAAGTGGGATACTTCAAAAATTCCTTTGGGACAAAAATATCTAAGAGAAAAAAACCAACCATACACTCCTAAACCAAATGGTATTGCAAAATGCAAATATTGCCATATTTTAAAAACCGAGAGGAGACTTCTTTTATCCACTTATGTTCCCAAAATCCAGTAGAAAAGAGTTGTTAGTATTGCGGTCTATCTTGTTAACATTATGCCATCATCCTTTCTATCTGGGCATCCGACATTTGAGAAACTCTTCACTAGGCAGCCAAATTAGTCTCTTCTAAGAAGTTTTGGTTGCACTAGCGTTGTGTTCATTCTTGAATATGAGTAGGAAATTGTCTGCCAAAGCTATTAAATATTATTTTTAGGATTATCTTGAAAGGGTATATATTCTATGATCCACTTTTGAAGAAACTAGGGTCTCAAAAAATGTAACCTTCTCCGAACATACCCCATTTTTTTTAGACAAAACAACTGAATATTCATCCTCCGACCTCTCATCCCTTGTCCCTTTGCCTAATGCTGTTCTAGCCGCCTCTGAAATCTCACACTTTATCCCTACACTAGAAACTCGAGAAGATCGACCAACTGCTAATGCTAAGAGCCCTACTCAGCCAAACTCGCTTGTTGATCTTGTACAAGTTCCTACTGTTCAACAAAGCACTCGTGTTTCAATCTCTCATGCTCATAATGCTTATTACAAAACCTTCCTCCACCAACATCAAGCTTTTCTTGCTTTTGATTATTCCAATTTTGAAACTCAAACTTACAAAGAAACTACAAATCAACCTGAAATGGGAACATGCAATGGCAAAAGAGTTGAATGGTCTTGATCAGATGCATGCTTGGGATCTTGCATCACTTCCAAAAGGAAAGAAAGTTGTTAGATGTTGATGGTTGTATAAGATCAAAACAAAGGTTGATGGTAGCCACAAAAGATGTATAGCCAGGCTTGTGGCAAAAGGGTAGAATCAACAATATGGGATCGACTTTGTCGAAACATTTGTTGTAATAGCCCATATGACTACAGTTTGAACGATAATCTCTATGGCATCTGTCCAATAGTGGCCCCCCATATCAACTGGATGTCAAGAACACATTTCTTAATGGTGACCTTGCTAAAAAAGTATACATAAAAATACCGTTGGAGTGACCTATCCATAAAATAGAGTATGCAGCGTCCGCCGACCCTTTTATGTACTCAAACAAGCTCCTCACTTGGTTTGAGAAATTTCTAAGTTTGGTAGTCTCAACTGGGGTTTTGGAAAGTCATCATGATCCATACCTTTTGTATTCAATGTGGGTGGGTGATGTGTTTTATCTATGGTGATGATTGAGTACTATTCATAAGATTAACTCAACTCGATCTTTAAAATGAAATATTTTGGTTTTCTGTGCTATTTTCTTGGCTAGAAGTTTCTTACTCCCCTCACAACTATGTACTCTCTCATATGTTAACTTCACCAAAAAAAAAAATGTACTCTCTCAACTCAAATATGCCCCCTCTCAAGCTTGGAGATACAAAAGAGTTGACATTCTTATAGAGTTAAATGTCAAGCTTCGAACCCGATGGAGACCTTCTTTCTGACCCACGATTCTACAAACAATTGGTTGCAAAGTTCATTTTTCTGGCAATTTCACAACCAAACATAGCTTATGTAGTTAATCTAGTCAGCCAATTTTTTAGTGCACCGTGATCAATTCATCTGGCACAATGTTAAAAATTATTCGTTATGTCCAAGATACCCTTAATCAAGCTCTATTCTTCTCCTCATTATCCTCACTTAAACTCAAGGCATAACTTAACACAAACTTTGCAGGAAATCCAATTGACCGCAAATCTACTTTAGGGTTTTGTATATTCCTAGGGGACTCTCTTCTCTCCTAGAAAAACAAAAAGCAAAAAGCAAAAGCATATTGCCCAATCAACAACTAAAGCGGAATATAGCTCCATGGCTCAGACCAGTACTAAACTTGTGTGGTTTCGCTGGTTGCTAGCAGATTTGGAAGTAAATATCACGAAACCTACTTTAGTCAGCCTTTCTTTTAAAAAAAAAAAATCACCAAACCTACTCCATTGTTATGAGACAATCAAAGTGCCATCTACATGTCCAAGAATCCAGAGTTCATGAAATGGACTGCCATTTTGTACAACAAGAAAACTAGGCAGACACAATTACTCTTTCCTATATAACTTTCGCTGTAAAACTCGTAACTTCTTTCCAAATACTCATTTTGCACCTCAATTCTTCTAGTTTATGTCCAAGCTCTCCACATTTGCTTTCAGATCATCTTGAGTTTGAGGGGGAGTATGAACACATATCTAATTACATCTACTTTCCATTTATCAATGAAGATTATTTATATGATTCTTGTAACAGCCCCACACTTTGCCTTAGAGCCTGTACATGATCTATACACAGTTTTGTGTTCTATAATGTATATGATTTGTAAAGCAATACAATGCACAAAGAAATGCAATCATGAATACTTGCACACAAATGTAATGCAAAATTCCATAAATAAGTAGATTTTGCATGTATATGGAGAAAAGTGGGAATGGGGTACAGCCAACCATACCTGGTTCACCACCAATGCCATGGTATTCAAAATTGGACGAAATGCATTAAGTGCACCATTTTAAAATGAAGCCTAATTTGGTGGTCTTCTTTGGCCTAAATATTTGAAGTCTTTGACGTTGCTAATCTAAACGATCTGGAATATTTTTTCCCTTAAATGCAAATAAACAATAACTTATGATCGAGAAGAAGAACATAAAGTCTAAACCCAATTTCAGGTGAAATTTCGCATGATAAATAGCTATTCATGGATATCAGCAGAGTGAGAAATGATTTGACTGATTAATCCAATTCTAGTATGCAATGTTCTCCTTTTGTGTGCATGAATTACACAATAAGATTGCCCCAAGTTTAAAAGCAACACTTTCACAAACAGGAGCAAATCTGGCATAGTAATATTGATAAGAACTAATACACACACACACATACATGCACACACCTGCACACTCGCGCACACACAGGCAGAGAGGAGGAGGGCCAGAGAGAGAGGGGTATTACCTCCATAATCCTTCTCCTTGATATGTAAATATGAATCAGGCAACACCCATCTCACCATTGGCAAAGCTGAGAGAAAAGACATACACAAGTCTCAATAGAAAGTTACGAGTTAACATTCAAAAAAGGAAAAAAATACACAACTCTCAGAGGAAGATAAGAAAAAAAGAAAAAAAAGAAACAGAGAATAGAAAAGGAAGCAAACTTCCTGTAAAAAGATAAAATCCAGAGAGCCCACCTTTTATCTTATGGGAAATCTCCTTAGAGACTTTGCACCCAAATGCATAATAGTACTTAGTCGATACCGAATATATGGCTTTCTTGGCGTCTTCCTCGCTATAACAAACAAAGAACCAGCAAAAAACAAAAAAATGTGATGAGAAAATTCGAAATTGAAAACCATAATATTAGAACAATTGGCATAAACTCAATTTCTACTCGTCCAGAACTAATGAAAAATGCATTTTATTGTAGGTTTGTAATTAAACGATAATGAGAGAGTTTAAAAACCCGCTACAAAAAAGAAAAGAAAAAAGGAAATACCAATTACCAGCAAAAAATTCACACGAGAGAGAGAGAGAGAGCGTAAAGTATATAAAAATAACAATAACAATAATAAGGAAAGGAACTCCCATGATTAGCAATACAAAATACACACATGAGAGAGAGACTAACAATGTTAAGAAAAAATAAAACCACAACAACAGTCCTAATGTAGGCAGAGAGTGAGAGAGATAACAATCCTAAAACCATAGCAAGTGTCTTAATGTAGAGAGAGAACCTTCCTAAAACCATAGCAAGTATCTTAACATAGGTATCGACGATCTGGTCCCTAAGGGGATGGCCCTGAGGAGGCTCCATGACCACAAGCCAGTGCTCATAATCACAACCTTCGACCAAAATGGCTTCTCTGGGTGGCCCATTCCTCCAATCCATGGCCGACTGAGAGGCACCCGTTGTTGCAGTGGAGAAAGCTCGAGAAGAGTGAGTCGCATTGTGGAGGGTAGGATGTCGAAGCAGAGAGAGAAAGTGGTAGCCATTAAAAGTAGTGGAGAGAGAATGAGAAGTTGCAGAGGACACGCAGTGATAGCTGTTATTGTAGAGAGAGAAACTCGATTTTAGAGGGTTCGCCCGCCGGAGAAGCATCGGTAGAGAGAGAGAGAAAGAGAGGGAGAAAAGCTGAATCGTTAGTAGAGGGAGACGGAACAAATTTGAATAAGAAAGAGAGAGAGAGCTGCCACTACTTTAGGTCAGGGTTTAGAGAGAGAGAGGTTCTTTTTCGAAGAAGAGATAGAAAGGTTTTGAGGAGGGCAGCGGTTTACGATGAAAGAGATAATCTTGATGAAATTTTCAATTTTGAAATTTTATTATATTCCCACTTAGAAGCTCCATGAAAGTACTTCACGTTTCGTCCAAATTTTCAAGGGAAATTAACAAAAAAACAAAATGCGCCTTTTTTGGAAATTATAATTTTTTTTTGAAAATATTCCATATATAATGAGACGTTATTTTTCATTCAATGTCACAATTTTCATTTGTCGTTAGATTTGAAATCAGGTGGTTAATGATGTGTCATTGTTTTGGGCGCAACGCCAAAATAAAATTTCTCTGCCGATGTGATATGTTTTCACCTATTAGATTTCACCTCTAATGATTAAAGTAACAGTGACCTCTTTGTACTAAATATAAACGATCTCACAATATACAATTCATTTTTTTATAACTCACTTTTGTACGCTAATTATTGTAATTTAATTTTATTCTTTTTATATTTTTTTCCTTTTTATAGATCCTAGTAAGTTCAAATTTTCACTATCCTTATTCTCAAAGCTTATAAAATTATTAAAAATGTCATCATCGTTGTCATTTTAGCATTTTTCAAATTAATTAAGGATGAGTACATGAATCTTGGTTCTCTATTTTGTTATATTAAAAGTCATATCTTCAGTAGTGTCATAAATCTCCATATCTTTTCGAACTACTTTCAACCACGTCATTTTGCCCCTACCTCTTGTCCTTTTCAATCTTCCCATTTGAACTAACTTGTATCTCTTAGCAGGTATTGTACTTGGTCATCATCATACATGCCCAGCCCATCTAAATATACTCTAACTCATTTTATCGTCTACTGATGTCACACCTAAATTATTTTGAATAAATTCATTTCGAATTATATCTCTTCTTGTCTTTCCACTTATCCATCTCAACATCATCATCATCTTCTCTATACTCATTCTATGGGTATATTGTTTTTTGTTCGTCCAACATTCCGCCTCATAAATCAATGCTAGTCTCACCGCTATCCTATAGAATTTGTCCTTTTGTCTCATTGGTATGCGGCGATCATATAAAATTTCAATTGCATATCTTCACTTTGCTCACCCTTCTATTCTCAACACCCTGTTGAACATCTTCGTCATCTAGTCAATGCCAATTTTCCCCATGCACTTCCAAACCTCTATTAGGATATCATCTAGTTCTAAAGTATTTCCAATTTAGGATATCATCTTCTTTCACTTCCAACATTCTAATCCTACGAATGTATCTATGACCTCCATCATCACTTGTACCAATAATCCCTTCTACCGCTGTGTTCTTATTGTGTTCGTTATTTAATAATTTTTTAAAACAGACTCTCCATCTTTCGTTTACCTCATCATCTTTCACCAAGACCATTTGATCATCACTTTTAATGCATTTAATATGGTTTAGATCCCTACACTTTTGCTCTCTTATTTTTCCTAATTTAAAGATATATTTTTCATCTTCTCTTGTATCCCAATTTATTGTATAGATTGTTATATGCTTTAAGTTTAGTTTTACTTACTACTTGTTTAACATTTTTCTTAGCATTTTTATATTCTTCTAAGTTTTGATATTTTCTATTACATTGTCAAGGTTTATAAATGATCATTTTTTGTTAATGGTCCTTTGAATCTCATCATTCCACCACCAAGTTTCCTTATTGAAGTTTCTTTTCCATCTAGATTATCTTAAAACTTCTTTTGCCACTTTCTTGATACATTTAGCCGTGTCATTCCATATTACAACGACATCATGTTCAGAGTTCTATTTTTCTTCTTCAATTAATTTATCCCTAAATGAGTATATTTGCTCATTTTTTAAATTCCACCACCTGGTTCTTGGACCCCCATTACTTTTTATGTAGACGTCCATGACCACGAGTCTATGTTGGGTAGTCAAACTCTCTCCAGAGATAACCTTACAATCGTTACATGATGGTCAATCTCCTTCTTAACTAGGAAGAAGTCTATCCTGGTTTTTTTCTGTTCCACTTTTATAGGTTATTAAATGTATATCTTGTTTTTTTAAGTAAGTATTTGTTATCGCTAGGTCGTAGGCCACATCAAAATCTAGAATAAAAATATAAAAAATATAATTAGATTAAATAAAAATGAGCAAAATACCTAACAAGTTTAAAAACTTTAGGGGTGTTTTGAGTATTTATTTATTTTAAAACATATGTGCAACTGGAATTTTATGAGATCGCTGCATATCAATGAGGCAGAAGGGTAAATTTTATAAGACAGTTCTGAAACCAGCTCGACTCTTTAAGGCGGAATGTCAGGCGGTCAAAAAATAATATACCTATAGATTGAGTGTAGGGCTTTTTACTTATCCTCTCTCTCCTCTAACTTTTCTTCGGTCCTCTTTCCTTTGTGTGTCTGCGTTTAAGCCCTACCCCAAGCGGTCCAATGTTTCAATGTTTGAAATATCGGACCGTTGTCTGTTTACATTTGTTTATAATAATACAAGATCTGATGTTTGAAATATAAAATTTGTTTTTGACAATACGCGATTTGATGTTTGAAATATCGGATTGCTTGTGTAAGTGTACCTTTAAAATTGTAATGCGGTTTGATACTTCAAACATGAAAGTTAACAAAATACAAAAATGACACATCGAACCAGAGCAAAGTTGAAAAAAAATACAAGGGGGTTTGTCTTGCTTTGTAAATACCACATATTTTCTAGTTTTTTTTGTTATAACGGTAAAATAAACGACGCATACTTATTTTTCCCTTCAATAATATCTATTTTTGAGGTGTTGTTGTACTTTATGAGTACGAGTTGAACAAATATCAACAATAGAAACCAGCATTTTAAGACCCGACGATTTTCGACTTGAATGGGAGTTGGTTGAAATCGATTTATTTTAACAAATCATCGCCCCATAAATCTCTATTTTAATTTTATTTAATTTATTTTTTATATTTCTCTTGATCAACTGTTCGGACAAATCCAAACCTTTTGCGTCTCCAATCCAATCCAGTGATTCAACATGGATCTAGGGGGGAATAATCCAATCCCACCGATCTATGTTCTAGAACATTGATTGGAACAATCATGTGACTTATTAATTAGTTGTCATAGCATTTTCAAATGTTCTTTTTCTTTTTTTTTTGTGAATTTTGCATTAGTCACAAGATTTCAAATATCTCAAAGGTTCTTTCTCTAAACACTTTCAGTTGATGTCATATTTGATGGCCAAAACCAATTGTGACATCTTTATACCACAAATAAATAATTAATGTGCTATCCAGGTCATATGCTGCATTTATGAATAGTGTGAGACAGAGGTTAAAGAATGATAAATTAGGGTTATGTACTCAATACTTCTTGACACTTGTTACCCTTTGTTTTGTAAAAGGAAATTTTTTTTTTAGTAAGGATATCTTTTTTTATTAAGAGGGGCATGATAGATATGTTTATAAAAAATTAATGGCATGTTACTAAGGGTTAAGAATAAATCATTGTTCCATATACACACTTTTATGTGGATGATGTCATCATCCGTTATAGTTAATAAATGTTTGTTTTTCTATCAAAAATTTCTACCGCACTATATTTTAATTATTTAAAATATCTCTAGACAAAAAAATTACTACATAGTAGAGTAAAGATATCAAGGGTCAAATAATACTGAGTATCTTAAGAAATACTCATATATATATATATATATATAAAAGTAGCCTAACATAACCCAATAAATTATAATACTTGACAACAAGATAGAGCACTATATAGAGAGGGCACAAAATGCACCATATAAATTATGGAATTCCTGGTGTATTTACTTTTTTATGTAGTTATTTTACATTATAGGTGAAATAATTCATGATCCCCAACCCAAGAACTGGGTTAGATAGGAGGGGTATATTTAAGCCCCCAAACACACAAAAACACACACATCCACACTAAAAACTCCACACAAGGACCGGCCCAGCTTCTATCTCAAGCCCTAAAACAGAGATAGAGAGAGAGAGAGAGATTTTTGTTAGTGAAGCTGCTCATAGAGTTGTGGGGTTAGCCTTGGTTTCATCACAGCCACAAGGGGCTCCTTCCTTGGTGTAGACAACCCAAATATCTCCGCCATGTTCAAATCTTCTTTCTTCATTCCCTCAGGCAAACCCCACTCAAACCCATGCACCAAATTGGCCAAGCTCGCCTGCATCGTTCCAAATAACGTCATTTATATTGTAACCGTCAATAAAGCAGAATGACATATTAAGATTTGTGTAGCCGATCTCAATTATTTTTAAAAAAACTATGATGATGATGATATTACAGTTGTCAAAAAACAACCATTATTGTTAAATAACGTTATAACGGTCTTGATGCCATGATAATGGTGAAAACAGTGATTTTCTAGGGCCACATAGGGAAATTAAAAAGTGCAAATAACTCTATTCCGCTATAACAGTCACCACTGTTGCATTGGCTATCATAATAGTCCAATTGATGAATCTTGAATCTTAAGATCAAGCATTCTATCACGGTCCAATTGATTGTAGAATGGTGACGGTGGTGATATCGCCAAGTGGTTGGCCCACTCGATCACCTTTGACAAATCGAATGGATGGGGATAACGCTTAAGATCACATATTTTCTATAAGGACACGGTTTCAATGTGGCCAGCCCATATATTATAGAAATGCAAGCTTGTCAATAAATATATTTTTTGAAATATAATTTGATCCCAATTTTTAGAGAATATATATAATCCTTAACATGGCGATCGTGAATATGAAAAAAAAAATAAAAAAAAAAAAAAATTAAAATAATAATTATATTAAAAAACATTTGGACTGTTAGTTACAATTGTTTTTAGATGGACAGCCTATTTACCTCCATCTTTAGTGGATGCTTTATACCTACCGCTTCTTGCATAAATGTGGTCCAGCCCAGGTGAAACAAATTTGCTTCCTATAATCACATGGATCATGGAAATTCAAGCATTGTTATTCTGTTATAACGATGACTGCTTTGATGAACTAATGACGTTATTTGAAGAATGTTGC